TGTAACTGATGTGATTCTGCAATCTGTATATGGGGTAAAAATGGGAGTTCATAACCCACTTGAATCAAAGTGTGAAATATGATATGTCAAGAACTATGTAATGTTTTGAACAACCAACAATAAAAAATTAAAAAAAAAAAGTATCATTCCAGAGATAGCATAGCCCAAGGAAAACAATAAGAACAAGCAATTGGGAATTCTATATGTAGCTCTTTAGAACTGATAGATCTGGTAATACATTGCCTAGGAAATAGAAATAATTCAAAATATATGTTCTAGTTCTTGTTAATTGTATTGTTTTTTTTTTCATGGTTCAGCTGTACTTCTGAAGCTTCCCTGTTTCATCAATCTATCAGGGATTACCCCAAAATCTTATTTGCAGAAATTTTCAAGATCTATAATAATGTATTTATCTATGCATTTGTTTAAGCTCCATAGTGTAACATTAGGTTTGTTGTTTTGGTCTCTTGAGTAACCCAGTAAATATTAATCAATCATATTGAACAGTTAAATAAATAAATATTGGCCGAGGAAATGAATAAGATAATGTACTCATACAAATGTTCATTTTGCTAGTATCTATTGATACAAAAAATTTAAATGAGTATATTTGACTTTCAGGGTTTAACTAAATTATGTGTATTTTATTCATAAATCCTTTTAGTATTGCACTTTTTAAAATATTCTTTCCTGTGTTTCTATACATTCCCGAGTTTCTGTCTTAATCTTGGTTGTAACTATGATCTCCATAACCACTAAAAATATGTAGCATTTGGTGAGAACTGTTTTTAAGTTTGAAGCAGATATATACCACATTTATAAAGCACAAAACAAAATAATTGTGTTTCTGTATAGGAATTCTAGAGTCTTCTATCAAATAAACTTTTTTCACAGCAAAAAAAAAAAAAAAAAAAAAAGGGATTGAGCACAAAGGATGGGATCTAATACACTGACGCGGAAATGGCCTTAAAAAGGAGCTATTATCTGTACAACCTAGATAACTTTTTTTTTTGGTGGGGGGTGGGTACCAGGGAATGAATGAACTAAAGGACACTTGACCATTGAACCACAGTCCCAGCCATATTTTGTATTTTATTTAGAGACAAGGTCTCACTGAGTTGCTTAGTACCTCACTTTTGCTGAGGCTGGCTTTGAACTCATGATCCTCCTGCCTCAGCCTCCTGAGTCACTAGGATCACAGGCTTGTGCCACAGTGCCCAGCTAGAGAGCTTATTATTTTTGTTGTTGTTTTTCTTCTCTCCCCACACTAAAGTGTAAATTATACAAGGACAGGGAGTTTGGGCCTTCCCCTGCTCCAAAAAAAAGTACTAGGGATTAAACCCAGAGATGCTTTACCACTAAGCTACATCCCTAACCCCTTCTATTTTGAGACAGGGCTTCCTTAAATTGCTGAGGCTGGCCTGGAACTTGACTCTTGCCTCAGTCTTCTGAGTAGTTGGGATTATAGATGTATGCCATCATGCCCAAAAAGTACAGGGATTTTTGTTGTTTTACTCACTGCTGTAGACTAGAATATTACTTGGTACATAATAAGCATGCAATAAGTATATGTTAAAGAATAGAGTATGTTCAAGAACTATGGTGAGGGGCCGGGGTTGTGACTCAGTGGTGGAACACTTGCTGAGCATGCATAGGCACTGGGTTCGATCCTGGCATCATATAAAAATAAACAAAATAAAGGTATTGTGTCCATCTACAACTGAAAAAAAAAAAAAAAAAAACTATGATGAAAAGAAAGTAGAAGTACAGGCAACTTGTTTGAGAGGCATTCCTTTTTTGTGTTTATGCTGTAGATTTTAGTTTACCACTGAGCTACATCTCTGGTGCCAGTAGTAGGCCTAAAAAGAGTTCAAAAAAATGTAGCAGAAGCTAAAGGGGTTGTGGGTTCAAATAACTTTTTCTTAATGTGGGGAATATTATAGAACGACATCGTGTTTTACACCTGTAATCTCAGCAAATGGGGAGGCTAAGGCAGGAGAATTACAAATTCAAGGTCAACTTCAGCAACTTACTAAGAACCTCAGCAATTTAGCAAGACACTGTCTCAAAATTGAAAAGAAAAAAAAAAGACGACTGGGGATGTAGTTCAGTGGAGAAGCACTTCTGGGGTTCATGGAAGGAAGGAAGGAAGGAGGGAGGGAAGGAGGGAAGGAGGGAGGGAAGGAAGGAAGGAAGGAAGAAAGAAAGAAAAAAGAAATGGTCCAGAAGACAAGGAAATTTTGATGATTATGAGAGGAAGGTTACAAATGGAGAGAAATCAGTGAAAGAAAGTGAATGTGTGTAGAGCTAATGGTTTAGCTTAATGGTAGAACACTTGCACAAGGCTTTGGGTTTGACTCCCAGCATGGAAGGAGGGGGAAAAAAAAGGAAGGGAATGGAATCTATGTTATCTAGTGCAATACTGAAACTACTCCTCTTGAGTAGGAGAATGAACTGTTCATTCAGACAAATGAGACAAAGTGTGTGGCCACCCATGGCCAGCAGCTGACAGAAATGGTAAATGGGAACACGTGAAGTTCTCCTTCGACTACTACTTTCTCAATGAGATATATTTTAAAAAGCAAACAAGGTCATCAGCTGAAGGTGAGGACAAACTGGAGGTTTGGGAGAAATTGAGTGTATAGTGAATGCCTATAGGAACACTTTAGGTTGGTGGATTGAGACAATTCACCACAGTTGTTTTTCTCCAGCCAATTTCAGCAGCCCTGTGAGAGTGTATAATAGGAAAGATTTAACCAGGTGGTTTATATGCCAATATGAAGGATAAGGGATAAGTAAAAAAGGAATATAAAATCTAAAATGGGGAAGGAGGAAAGTGAAAAGTTCGACAGCAAAAAGGCCGTAGGATCAATGAATTGAGGTTTAAGAGTTGTTGGAGCCAGGGTTATTCTGTTATTCCTCACAAGTCTAGATCAAGACCCTGGAAGTCAGAGGCTCAGGCTAAAGAAGTGTGGTTCAATCTTTTTGGAAGCCCAAAGCATACTCCACTCCGCCTCCTTTGTCCAGAGGTAAGTCATAAGTGGAAAGTACGGCTTTCACTTGCTCCTCCTCCCCTTTCTTCCCCCTCCTCTAGTTTAGGGCCGGGCTATCCCAGCAGGCGGCTCCCAAACTCACTGTTTGGATCGGTGTTGGGCGTAGCTAACCGCCTGCGAAGCACTTCTTTCCAGTCCATGGCAGAATTCCGCGCAGTAGCTCCGGCATTTGCTGTTTATTAACCGCTCCACCCCACCAGCTCGGACGTGAGAGCCTGCCAAACTCCGTAGAGATTAGGAAGGCCGCCCAACCGCCATCTTTGATGTGGGCGGAAGTCTTGGCTAAAGGAAAAAACGGCCACTGTAGGTGTAACGGAGGATACAGCAATTATACTATCTGGGGGGGGAAGCAGAGATGCAAAATGCAAAACCGATTTTGAAGGCTAGAATAAGGAAAACCGCGTATTTCTTAAGGGTGAGCCTTTGGAGCGTGTGCACCACGTGATTCAGGAGTTCACGGGTGCTTCCGGCTTGAGAGACGCGCCTTCTACACATTTTTTTTTTTCTTCATTCTTCTGGAGGCGCTAACGGTCTCTAGAATGTACAGACGCTTCAGTAGGGCTGTTTCCATCTCACCCCGCCTCTGGCACTACACGTTTCAAAATTGCCTTTTTTCTCGCCGCCAGGCCTTGCCCAACGCGTGCCACTCCCCGGCTTGCCCTCGGTAGCGCGGTGCGTTGTGGACACCGTAGTTTCCGCCGCGTCTAAGACTGGGTTAAGCCTGAGTACTGCGGTGAGTTGTTGAATGAAGTGAATAACTTAGAGAGATCCGTACATAGTCGTGTCGGCGCCTTTCGAGGACCACGCTTTCTTATCTGAGTTGTTGGCGCGACAGACAACCCCACCCCACCCCACCCCCGCCTCCTCCAGGACTCATCTTTCCCGACCTGACGAATTTGGCGGCCTGGGGAGAGTTAGGCAAGGGAGAGGGGCCACTAGATGGCTTTCGTCGCTGTCGCTGCTAGTGGGACTGGGGTGGGGGCCTCTTGGTTTGGTTTTGACTTTAATTCCTCCTTTCCAGCGCCTATGGGATCCAACCCCTTTTGAGGATAGTGGTGAATCACTTGAGTCAAACTGCTTTCCTTCTTGTGCTTTTTTCTTCAGGTTCTCAGACAGGAATGTAACAGACACCAGAGAATCCCTTCTTTGTCTCCTGGCTTAGGACTCAGGACTGATGTTGGATATCGCCCGATCATTGCTTTTGTTGCTGTTGGTAGCCTCCAAAGCAGAACCTTGGTTTGACTGTAATACAAAAGGAGTCTCCTTTTTTAAAAAGTGGCGCTTCCACCCACTACTCTAAACCCCAATTCCTTAATTTTGTTGTGGAAGTAGGCTTTTCGGAACATCTTGATCACAGGTGCTGATCTCATTGCATAATGAATTTTTTGTTGTCAGGTATTCAAAGCTTTTCTAAGCTTTGGAAGTGCAGCCCATGCTTTGGGCTAAGCCCAGGGCACTCTTGCTGCTTCTTCCTCTCAGACTACTGTGGCATCAGGAACCAACAGAGATGGTTTTCTCTCAAAAGCATGTCTCCACAAAGTACCAAAGCTGGGAACGCATCAATTGCCAAGGCCAGATATCTCAGGAAAGGAGATGAGGGCAGTAATAAGCAAGTTTCTTCTGATTCTCCTCATCTTTTTGCAGCCGGAGCAGCTAAAAAGAGATCACAGATGAATCCTCAGAGTAACGATCAAGTCTTGTCACCTCTGAAGAATATTTCTATTCAACTCCCAACAAAACCTTTGAATTCCGAGGAGTGGGATAAACTTAAGGAAGACTTTAAAGGAAAGGCCAATTTTGAAAATTGGATAAGTTCACAGATGGCTCACTGCCATAGCCCTATAGATGTGGCTAAATCTCTGCTGGCATGGGTAGCAGCAAAAAACAATGGTATTGTAGGCTATAATTTACTGGTCAGGTATTTGTATCTCTGTGTCTTTCATAAACAGACTTCAGAAGTTATTGATGTCTATGAAATCATGAGAGCCAGATACAAGAGGTTAGAATCTGGGGGTTACAGTCTTCTCATTCGGGGATTGATGCATTCAGACAGATGGAGAGAGGCCTTGATGCTATTAGAAGATATTAAAAAAGTCATGACCCCTTCAATAAAGAACTATAATGACTGTATCCAAGGGGCTCTCCTTCATCAAGATGTGAACACAGCCTGGAATTTGTATCAGGAATTGCTAGGTCATGATCTTATTCCTATGTTGGAAACTTTAAAAGCCTTCTTTGATTTTGGAAAAGACATAAAAGATGATCACTATTCCAGCAAACTACTTGACATTCTTTTGTATTTAAGAAATAATCAGCTATATCCTGGGGAGTCATTTGCACACAGTATAAAAACATGGTTTGAGAGGTAATTTTGATTTTTCTTTATGTGTGTTTTCATTTTGTTATACCCCAAAGTAGCGCTTTTTGTTGTTGCTGAGAATCGGTCTATTAATTTCCCATCTCTAAGTAAGATTTGTTTTCCCTTTAAGACAAAGTTTTCTCTCTTTAAAACAAATAGTGATGTGGATGTGGGGTTATAGCTCAGTAGAGTGTCTAGCATGCACAAGGTTTGTTCCCCAGCACTACAAAAACAATTTGTATTAATCTGTACCATTCATATAAAAAGGAAATTATAGAGCATTTATTTTTGTTTTCTGAGACATCTAGTATAATGTACATACTTAAGAATAGTATTTGTGTTGAGCTCTTTATATACCCTAGAGATTAGAGCTCTATCTGATGTGTGAGGGGTAAAAATTTGTTCCCAGGATGTAGGCTCCCTATTCACCTCAAGTATTATTTCTCTTGCTGAGAAAAAACTTTTTTATTTTGAATCCATCCCATTTGTTGATTCTTGGTTTTAATTCTTGTACTATAGGAGTCTTATAAAGGAAGTTGGGGCCTAGCCCCACGTGATGAAGATTAGGGCCTACTTTTTCTTCTATTAGACACAGAGTCTCTGGTTTGATTCCTAGATCCATGATCCATTTTGAGTTAACTTTTGTGCATGGTGAGAGATAGGGATTCAATTTCATTTTGTTGCATACGGATTTCCAGTTTTCCCAGCACCGTTTGTTGAAGATGCTATCCATTCTACACCGCATGCTTTTGGCACCTTTGTCTAATATAAAGTAGTTGTAATTTTGTGGATTAGTTTCTGTGTCCTCTATTCTGTACCATTGGTCTACCAGCCTGTTTTGGTGCCAGTACCATGTGTTTTTGTTACTATTGCTCTGTAGTATAGTTTAAGGTCTGGTATGATACCACCTGTTTTACTCTTCCTGCTTAGAATTGCTTTAGCTATTCTGGGTCTCTTATTTTTTCAGATGAATTTCATAATTGCTTTTTCTATTTCTATGAGGAATGCCATTGGGATTTTGATTGGAATTGCATTGAACCTGTATAGTGCTTTTGGAAATATGGTCATTTTAATAATATTAATTCTGCCTATCCATGAGCAAGGTAGATCTTTCTATCTTCTAAGGTCTTCTTCTATTTCTCTCTTTAGGATTCTATAGTTTTCATTGTATAAATCTTTCACCTCTTTTGTTAAGTTGATTCCCAAGTATTTTATTTTATTTTATTTGAGGATATTGTGAATGGGGTAGTCTTCCTCATTTCCTTTTCAGAGGATTTGTCAGTGATATACAGGAATGCCTTTGATTTATGGGTGTTGATTTTATATCCTGCCACTTTGCTGAATTCATTTATTAGTTCTAGAAGTTTCTTGGTAGAGTTTTTTGGGTCTTTTAGGTATAGAATAATATCATCAGCAAATAGTGCTAGTTTAAGTTCCTCTTTTCAAATAGTTAGTCCTTTAATTTCTTTTGTCTGTCTAATTGCCCTGGCCAGTATTTCAAGAACTATGTTGAATAGAAGTGGTGAGAGAGGGTATCCCTGTCTTGTTTAGAGGGAATGCTTTCAGTTTTTCTGTTTAGAATGATGCTGGCCTGAGGCTTAGCGTAGATAGCCTTTACAATGTTTAGGTAAGTTCCTGTTATCCCTAGTTTTTCTAGTGTTTTGAACATAAATGGGAGCTGTATTTTGTCAAATGCTTTTTCTGCATCTATGGAGATGATCATATGGTTCTTATCTTTACGTCTATTGATGTGATGAATTACATTTCTTGATTTCCATATGTTGAACCAACCTTGCATCCCGAGGACCATTTGTCCCAGCTATTCCTCTTCTCGGACTAAACCCAAAGGACCTAAAAACAGCATACTATAGGGACACAGCCACATCAATGTTTATAGCAGCACAATTCACAATAGCTAAACTGTGGAGCCCTTCAATGGATGAATGGATTTAAAAAAATGTGGCATTTATACACAATGGAATATTACTCAGCACTAAAAAATAATAAGATCATGGCATTTGCAGGGAAATGGATGGCATTAGAACAGATTATGCTAAGTGAAGGTAGCCAATTCCAAAAAAACAAATGCTGAATGTCTTCTCTGATATAAGGGGGATGACTCAAAATGGGGTAGGGAGGAAGAGCATGGGAAGAGATTACCTCTAGATAGGGAAGAGGGGTGGGAGGGAAAGGGAGGGAGAAGGGGAATTGCATGGATGGTGGAAGGAGACCCTCATCATTGTACAAAATACATGTATGAAGATGTGAATTTGGTGTCAACATATCTTGTATACAGAGATATGATAAATTGTGGTATAAAGGTTTATTAAGAATTATAATGTAAATAATAATAATAATAATAATAAAGCTCATGTAAAAAAAATAAAAATTAAAAAAAAAGAATATTTATAGCCAAGTTCATAGAAACAAAAGGATAGCCAGGTATAGTGTAGCACACAATCCCTGAGCCTTTGGAGGCTGAAGCACGAGGTTCACAAGTTTGAGGCCAACAATTTAGTGAGATTCTATCTCAAAATAAAAAGTAAATAGGTCTGGGAATGTAGCTCAATGGTAAATTGCCTCTGGGTTTAATTCCCCAGTGCCAAAAAGAAAAAAAGGATATAGTATGTGACTAGAGCTGTCCTTAGGCCATATTAGTAGTTTTAGAAGTTCTGTTTGAAGTCTAGTGACTGGGATAATGTACTTATATTTATTCTGTTTAATCTCTGCATTCTATCAACTTCTATGGGTTAAATGGGATGAGATTCCTGATCAAATCTGATATGCAAGTATCAAAATTGAAACTTCATCTTCCTGGGTTTGGATCTTTCATGATTTGGCTGCTTTCCAAAGCTCTCTGCTTTCACTTTGTTTTTATACCTATTTATTGGTTTAGTCTTTGTTCTCATTTCTTCATCATTAGTGGACTTCAGGCCCTTTCCTTCCTCTTTTTTCTCTTCCTTTTTATAACATATGTTTTACAGAGCTTTAAAGTAGCAATTATGCTTAAATACCTTGACAATATCAACAGAGGAGGAGCCAAAGTGTGAAAATCTTCAGATTTTATTCTGTTATCAAGAATGCTGGTTTTGGAGTGGAGTTTTAGAAAGGTTATTGCATAAACAATGAGAAGAATAGAATGGAGAAGGATTAATATTGAAAACAGGAATACCTGTTTAAATGCAGTTTTAGTGGGTGGGAGATGATGAGGTCCTGAATTAAGAACTGGGGAGAGAGGGGATTGGAATCAATAAGAACTGATGGTAAAAATGAAAGAGGAAAGTTAATTGAGAAAATAAATCAAATAATTTTTGAATGACTTCAGTTAGTCTAGGCACCATTGATAGACCCAACCTGATCTTTTCTTAAAATTGGAAGCCATCTCGCCACAAAGCCATGAAAAGATAATTTTGGCTTTACTATAAATTACTGCAAATTCTGAACCTGCTTGGAATGCCTGCCAGTGCCTTGAACTCACCCATGCCTTGAACTCACCCATGCCTGGCCCTCTGACCAGATAGCAGCCCTCTCTGAAACTTTAGTGATGCCTCACAAATCTTGGCCTTCCCTGGCCAGATAGCAACCCTCTCTGAGGCTCTAATGACCTTCATAAATTCTGATGTCGGGGCCAGCAAAAATGTAAACTACCATTAGTGTTATGCTTGTCAGAGTTCTGTTATCTGTAAACTCCCTTTGTGTAACTTTCTGGGCTATAAAGCTGGGCTGCAGGAAAGCTGCTGCTGCTGTCTTGTTCCCGCGGTTTTGGGTGGGAGAGGCAGCCTGGCCGGTCGAAAAAATAAGCTTGCTTTAATTTGATTTTAATTGGAGTCAGTGGTCTTTTCTTGCGTCCCGGTCTAACACTATAAGTATTTTGTGATATGAAATCTTTTATGATGGTATTCTCAACTTAATTAGGAATACAAAACCTGATCTGTTAAATAACAGTGATCTATAAGAATAGTATGAGAGAAATTATCCTGAGTAGGAGCACACTTTAGCAACTATGGAGAAGGTTAGAGTTGAGTTTGATTTAGAGGTTGTATTACTAAGATCATCTGCTTTTTGTATAGCTCCAGTGAAGATAGATTTAGACTTGAAGAAGTTGAGGATTGGATTACAGGTGAACCAATAGGAAGGAGGAGACCCAGTGGAGGATACCATTTGCTCTTTAGCCCCAACACAGTATAGCAACCACTCTTGTAATTAAACCATTCTAGGGAAGTATCCTGATCCTTCAGAGTTATTACAGAGTTTCTAAATACAATGAATATCTTTCAATTCAGTAGGAATCTAATCCGATGATTTGATTCCTTTTTTTTTTTTTTTTAATAGTGTTCCTGGAAAACAATGGAAAGGACAATTCACCACAATCCAGAAAAGGTAAAGGATAATATTTATTTTTAACTTGTTTGATTCAGGGTTAGTAAGTTTTATTGCTATCGATTTGAAAATATGAAAGAACCCTTTAGGAATAAGATAATTAAGAGTATGTAATAGGGCTGGGGTTGTAGCTCAGTGGTTGTGTGCCAGCCTAGCATATGTGAGGCAATGGGTTCAATTCTCAGCACTGCATATAAATAAACAAAGGTCCATCGACAACTAAAAAAAAAAAAAATTAAAAAAAAATAGAGTATATAATTAGAGTGCCCCGGGAAAGAGCCATTTTTTGCATATGGAGACTTTACAGTGCTCAAAATGTTTTTCTTTCCTGTTGGTACCATAAACCACTGTGAAGCCTTAGAGATGTTTGCACCTGGAGATTTGAGACACAGTTGTGTTTTAGGAATTACTTAAAAATTTTCATCCAATGCCTACCGATTTACTTTTTTTGGGTTTTCTGGCACACTAATATGTGATATTTTCAGGCTTTCAAGAAATCAGATGCAGGCTGGGGTTGTGGCTCAGTGGCAGAGTGCTTACCTCTCGCATGTGAAGCACTGGGTTTGACCCTCAGCACCACATAAAAATAAAAAAAGCAAAATAAAGATGTTGTACCCATGTATAACTAAAAAAAAAGAAGAAAAAAGAAATCATATGCATGTGATGATCAAAAATGTTTTCATGTTCTTTTCTATTACCTTTCACTTTATTTGTGTCTTAGAATTACTAATTTTAGAAAAAGTACTTTTCCAGAGCATTATTTAACTTATAAAAATTTAATTACAGTGGTCAGTGTTCATGCTGTGGAAAAACCATGGAGTCTATTCATCTGAGTCCAGAAGAGTATGAATTTCTTAAGAGAAAAATCATAAGGGATGTAATAGATGGAGGAGACCAATATAAAAAGACAACACCTCAGGTGAGTCTAACAGTCTTTATTATATTCTTGGATTGCTTGTCTAGGGCAGGGCCCAGCGATTCTCTCCCCATAAAGAACAGATAATAAATATTACATGGTTTCTGGGCTATATAATCTCTATTGTAGCTTTTTGATTCTGCTGTTGTAGTTAAAATAGGCATCGACAATATATAAACAAATGAATGTGGCTGTGTTCCATTAAAACTGTTCACAGAAACAAGCAATAGGCTGGATTTGGCCCATGGCCACAGTTGTCAACCTTTCAGAGATTACTTTAGAATTTTATAGAATAATTGGTTTATACTATCATCTATTGAAGTCAGTCCTGTTACATGTAGGTGTAATAGGTGCAAGTAAATTAAAAAGACAGATGCTTATTCTTTCTTTAAGTGCTTCCAGAAAACTTTTCAGTAAACTCCTATAAAAACAACTTTTCTAGTCAAGGTAGTTTGGGGTAACTTATTAAAATTGCTCACACGTTTTCTTAACATTGAATTTGATTCACTAAGTCATATATAATAGTTTTATTTTGCCAATCTTCAGTTCTTTATGATGGGTACTTAGATTAAATTGAAGAGGGAAGATACTTTTGAATTGGTCATCCATGGGGATTATCTTTCTAAATTCTTTTTTTTTCTTCCTTTTATCAAGTAAAAATGAGAAGCAAAAATTGTTTTGGCACTCCCCTTGACTTTTCATTTTAATTTTTATAAAATATCCCTAGGTAGGATACAAAGGAAAAATCTCTGCACTTTCTGTTTTTATGGCAGACCAGATTGAACTGGGGAATACATCTGTAGGAAAGAAAAAAAAAAAAAAAAAAACTCCATAGGGCATATGAAGACCTTTAAAGTCAAAATCTTGTCCACAAAATCCTCCAATTAAAGTCAAAATCTTGGGAGAGAGAAGGGAAATTGCATGGAAATGGAAGGAGACCCTCAGAGTTATACAAAAGTACATACAAGAGGAAGTGAGGGGAAAGGGAAAAATAATACAAGGGGGACAAATGAATGTCAGTAGAGGGGGCAGAGAGAGAAGAGGGGAGGGGAGGGGAGGGGAGGGGGGATAGTAGAGGATAGGAAAGGCAGCAGAACACAACAGACACTAGTATGGCAATATGTAAATCAATGGATGTGTAACTGATGTGATTCTGCAATCTGTATATGGGGTAAAAATGGGAGCTCATAACCCACTTGAATCAAAGTGTGAAATATGATATATCAAGAACTATGTAATGTTTTGAACAGCCAACAATAAAAAATTAAAAAAAAAAAATAAAGTCAAAATCTTGTCCACAAAAACAACATATCCATTTTATAGAATACCTTTTATCTAACTTTGTTGATGACAATTAACGTTTATTAAGTAACGTTAAGTACATTAATTATCTTACATCTCATTTAATCCTTATAACTACCCTATAAGATACTATTTTATTATTATTTTCCATGTGGAGTCCTTTTCTTTCATCCCCCTGGAATTACCTGTTCCATCTATCAGGAATAAGTATGAGGAGAAGATAATACTTTAATTTCTGGTACATTGGGTTTTAGTGCCAGCAGAAGATCCAGGACTTGAGGTCCAATTTGGAGAAGAGAACTGCTGTTGGAGGTTTCAGGGGGCATCATCACTACAGTAAATTAAACCAAGGGTACCTTGCTAATAAAATCCAGGTCTGACTAACCCTAAAACCTTTGCCATCATACTCTTACAGTACAGTCCATAGATGCATATATACCTGACAGCCAGCTGATTGTCACAGCTATTAATACCTTGGGAATCTCTGACTTAAACAAATTCCTTTGTGTGTGTGTGTGGGGTGGGGGGTGCTGAGATTGAACCCAGGGCCTTGTGCATGCGAGGCAAGCACTCTACCAACTGAGCTATATCCTCAGCCCAACAAATTCCCTTTTAGTATAACAAATGTCTATTGAGCACTCATGTGTGTCTTCTGAACTAGGTGCTAAGATAAATACATGGTTGTATAAATCATGCTGGTTGTTATCAAAAACTTAACCCTTTCTGCTGTAGAATAGTGCATATTCTTCCCATTTTGCATCTTTTTATTTGGATGACATTTTTAATTCATGGAAAAAATGAAAAAATTAACAGAATGGACACCTACATTCTTGGACACCTTCATCTAAATAACTGTTAATGTTATGCCACATTGGTTTTCTCTGTGTGTATGTGTTTATGAACCATTTAAAACTAAGTTGTAGGGGCTGAGGTTGTGGCTCAGTTGGTAGAGCATTTTCCTTGCATGTGTGAGGCACTGGGTTTGATCCTCAGCACCACATAAAAACAATAAATAAAGGTATTGTGTCTGTCTACAACTAAAAAAAAATATATTAGAAAGAAAAGTAAGTTGTAGACATGAAGATCATTACCACACCCAGAACCTGTGACAGACTTTTTAAAGAAGTCTGGACAATTAATCCTGTATGGGGCTTCACAAATTGTTAAAATGCAAATTCTAATTTCATTGTTTGGAATGGGGCCTAGAAGTCTTATTTCAAACATATATTTCAAACAAGTTCCCAGTTGATGTGATTTTGGTCTTTGGACACATTTTGAATAGTGACTATGGGATGTCTAATTATCTGATTGCTTTCTTTTCATTAATTTGGTTTAAATGCCTTTGAATATACTATACACTCCCTTATTCCTTTTCTTTCATCCCTCTGGAATTAACCTGTTCCATCTATCAGGAATAGGTATGAGGAGAAGATAATACTTTAATTTCTGGTATATTGGGTCTTAGTGCCAGCAGAAGATCAAGGACTTGGGGTCCAGCTTGGAAAAGAGAACTACTGTTGGAGGTTTCAGGGAGCATCATCACTACAGTAAATTAAACCATAGGAATGCCTGAGTTCATCCAGGAAGAGAGTGGGAAGAGTAATGGGTTCAGAACTTGGTGGGTGTGGAATGGGGAGCACCAACATAGGATAAAAGGTCAAAAAGTAGTTCCATTTAGTAGAATAGTTAGATTAACACAGTCTGTTCAGTGCAGTGTAACAGACCCTCAAATCTCATCTGTCTCATTTTGAATTCCATTTAACATTCTTTGATTTTTATCCCAGAATAGTATTATATTATGTGGACATAAAAAGAAGATTCATATATTCATTCATTGGTTGATGAACATTCTCTTATTTGGGGGCCATTATGAATGAAGCTGGTCAGAATATTCTAATACAAGTTTTTGTACTTTATATTTTTGTATTAGTTCCCAGGACTGCCCTAACAAATTACCACAAATCGTGTGAATGACAATGACAGAAGTTTATTCTCTCACTGTTCTGTAGGATAGAAGTCTGGAATTAAGGTGTTGCTAGGGCCATGCTTCTTCTGAAGACTAGGAAAGAACCCCTCCTTCCCTTTTGCTAGCTCCTGAAACTTTTGGCTCCTGGACATTGCTGGTGTTCCTTGGCTTTTAGCTGCACCATCCATTTTTTTCCTCTGTCTTCACGTGACCTTCTTTGTGTATCTCTGTCATCTCTTTTTATAAGGGCTCTAGCCATTGGATTTATAGTTTGCTCTAATCCATTATGACCTCATTATAAGTAATTACATCTTCAAAGACTCTCTCCAAATAAGGTCGCTTCCTGAGGTTTCTAGTGGGCATGAATCGGGAGGGAATACTCACTATTCAATCTACTACAACTTTTGTTGTGACTATAGATAGAACCAGAATGTTTGGGTCCTATGACAAGGGTATGTGTAATATTTTAAGAAACTACCAACTTGATTTCTAACATTTATATTCCTACCAGCAGTGTATGCATGTTACAGTAGCTTCATATTATGGCCAATACTTAGTATAGTCAATTGCCTCGACCTACATGGCCATTAATTCAAGTAACCAAATAGGATGGTGAGGGGATGAAGAAAGGACAGACAAAAACACAAATAGTGAACCGCTGAGGCCTGGCTTTTTCTCTATCAACCCTGATAGGGAGATAGTGACCACGAACAAGCTTGGCATGTTTATTATATAATTTTTAACATCAACATTATTGTGATGTTATTATATAATTTTTAACAACAACATTATTGTGAGGGCTGGGGTTGTAGCTCAGTGGTAGAGTGCTTGTCTTGCACATGTGAGGAACTGAGTTCAATCCTCAGCACCAAAAAAAGATAAGTAAAGGCATTGTGAGGGAAAAAAAAAAGCATTTATTATGAGAAAGTTTCTTCAAGATAAACAGAACTGAAGTTGAGGGTATAAACAGCCCAATTAGAACTATCAGCTTGCTCCCATAATTCTCTATCCCCAGGCAGCTGGTGTCTGAACTTCTAGGTCATGAACTGATAATTCTGTGGCTGGCACAGTACCTCCTTTTGAACAGGGCATCACCACAGCCACTGGGCAGTCTCAAATTGATGCCTTTGTTCCAACAGTTCCCAAGATGGGCATTGCTTCTGCCACTGGACAGCCCAAGGACCATAATTCATTCACTGCTCCCAAAAGTCAGTCTCTTTAACTTAAGCTATTCTAATAGCTGCAAAGTGGTATCATTATGATTTTAATTTACATTTTCCTAATGACTAATGTTGAGCATCTTTTTACATACCTAATTGCTGTCCACATATTTTCCTTGGTAAAGTGTTTGATAGATCTTTTGCCCATCTTAAAAATTGGGTGGTTTTCTTACTGAGTTTTAAGAGTTGTTTATAAGACTGGGAATGCAGTTTAGTGGTAGAGCACTTGCCTAGCTTGCACAAGGTTCTGGGTTTGATCACTAGCATTGGGAAAAAAAAAAAAAAAGGTTATGTATTTTAGATACAAGTTCTTTGTCAGATAAACATTTTTGTAAATATTTCTTTTCAGTCTATGGTTGCCTTTTATTTTAATAACTTTAAAGATTTTGATTTGATGCTGGCTTGAAGAGATCTTGACATTAGGATTTTCAAAAACTCCCAGGTGATTTAAAACTATGGCCAAGAACAACTGCTTATAATGTGAGATTTTAAAGAAACATTATATATGGCAGCTT